TGTGTGTGTGTGTGTGTGTGTGTGTGTGTGTGTGTGCTGAAATGACATAATGATTTACGAGAATAAGTTGGAACACTAGTATGAAAACACGAGAGAAAGGAAAGAGACCGACCACGTGATGAAACACGTGTACCAGTTAAGCAGACATTATTATAAGATGTGGAAAGTTTGAAAGTGATAAGTTTGAGTAAGATATCGAAAGTAACAGGTTTGCGTTCATTACATTAATGCAACTAATGTTGTAGCATTAGAAAAATTAAAAGCATTGAAATGTGTTTGAAAAGATTACTATTAAGATGTAATGCTAATGCTATGATTATATGTCATGTTTATATAATTATCGCACGTTGTATATGTTCCAGATTTTTCATACAATATTTTTCTTTACTTTAAATTATATGAATAATAGCAATTTTAATTTTACAAATAATCGTTTTATTTCAATATGAGATATTTCTTACAGATGATACTTTATACAACATTGAAATGCTTACAAATGGGCAGCGATATGATAAGAGTCATTCCTGAAACTTTACCAATAAATGATGCTTAATTCAACTTTTTAATCAAAATTACTTGCTTAATTAAAGCGTATAAAATTAATGCCTCTTTGTACATGAAAATTTATGCGCAGAAAAATTGAAGAAATACAAAAAATGATCAATCAACCGTAAATAACTATTTTCAGTAGTAATACAACAAAAATGATCAATGTCTTATAAAAACCATCGAAAACAAGAGAATTGAATACAAACACTCATAGGTGTTTATAATCAAATTCAAACATACAGGCGTGCAAAAAAGTATTAAATCAACTGCCGGGGCTGTCAGATCTCGATATTCTCAAATCAGATATGCGAAATTTGCATAACATCAAATAACAGAGGAAGCAACGAATTCTACAACAAGCAACTCACCGTTTCTTCTTATTGTTGAATATCTCCAGAATTTTAGCCTATGTTATTCTAACTTCACACTTGAAATTTGACGATTTTGGTAGTGATGAAGAATCTTTTTTTTTTCTTTTCCGCCTTCATTCTTCATAAATGACAACTTTGTTTGAGAGTTTTTATGAAATACTTTAATAAAAGCATTCATCAAAACACAGATTTAATAGAATAAGAAATTAAAAATTAATAGAACTGTCTCATTTAAAACATTCCAAAAAGCAACAAAAGGACATTGTAGGAAATTTGGCTAGCGTGAAAAAATTTAACTTTTTGGAATTATTTCCCTCTCATTCTTCGTGAAACGAATTGAAATTATTTCTCTTCTTACTTGCCATTTTTATCAATGAGAATGAAATAAGAAAAAAATTGATTATAAACCCAGTATCAGAAAAAACAAATCAAATCCAAAATTATTTCTTTTGAAACTATCCAGACAGATATCTTGTGGATTTGTTTTTTCTTCTCTCCTTTTTAAATTTCCGTTTGTCAATTGTTTTTTCCAACTGTTCCCGTCTCTTCTTTCCTATCTGTTTCCTGTAAATATATGCCAAATTAGAAAGTATAACAGAATATGAAAAAAATTTACCACATATATATGATATTGGCAGACAAGCACAATTTTTCATATCTCTCTTACCCATGCAACGAGCTTCTCTAACTAAGCTTTATATATAAATAAATTATTTTCGCAAAAAAAGCTTTTTTAATCAAACTATTATACTATTGTAAATTAGTTGCACATTTACTATACATTAAGAAATTCGTTTGCCATCTTTCTATATTACACAAAATCTTTTACAAGATAGAATCATGACAAGTAATGCTAACACAATATATTCGATTCTATCCATTATCAATACATTGCAATAACATTCACCTTTGTTCACGCTGCATTTTCAGGGTTCTTTCAACCTCATCAGGATCCAATCCAGCGATTAGCATTTCTTTTCGCTTATTTATTGCTTTCCGTTCACCGAAATTTTGTTGATCCAATTTAATTTCTGCTTCTCGTTTTGTTACCAGCACTTGTGTCACATATTGCGTCACCTATTGTGATTCTTTCATTCATTCGAAATCCTTAGCTAATTAAAATGCAATCAAGGTTAGTTCTTTTTTTTGAAAGAATGTAACAAACAATAACCTTTTTATCGCTGACAACCAATTTATCCAATTTTTTCCCAATTACTTTTTCAATTTCCTGAAGCAGAAATATATCATATTGAGTGACAAATATAAGTGCGCAACCGAATCTTCCAGCTCGAGCTGAACGACCAACACGATGTATATAAGTTTTAGTATTTTGTGGCACATTGTGATTGACAACTAGATCGACCTGAATTACAAAGTTATAATCAACGTTTTAAAGTTAGTGCGTATTATGAAATCCGAAAATTACGAAGTGTTTACTCTTCATTAGTATACCGTTGCTTGCACAGAATTTGTATAAATCTACGAAAATGAAAGCTTACAATACTGATGTCTTTGTAGATTTGCATGATTTAAATAAGACAGTCTTTGCGAACAACAAATGGCAAAAATTTACATGAGGTATATCAAGTCCACGTGATGCAACATCTGTGCATATCAGAATTTTTATACGACCAGATCGGAATTTTGTTAAAGAGGATGATCTTTCCTGTTGACTTATCTGAGAGTGGAGTGATCCAACCTGTAATTTTACCATTCCATCAATAATCAATTTATTTTCAGTATTCCATGTATTTAGAATTTAATACCATTTCAAAACTGCAGATGAAACATCTTAATGATGTTCATCATTAAAAAATTTAAATTTTTAAATAAATATGTACTCCAAAATATGTCATTTTTCACTCATAAATTCATATGCAAAAACAAAAACACCTGGAAACCTAATCCATGGAACATAATTGCCAACGCTTGACATTCCCGGCACGTATGCGAAAATATCAAAATTAAGCTATCTGGATGTTTTTCATGAAAATTCTTTACAACGTATACTAAATAAGCATCTTTCACAGCGCACGGACAAAGCACGTACTTTTGCTCCAGTTTGTCAACCGTAGCAATTTCACTTTTATCTTCGAAAAAATATGGTTTTTTGACGGATACCTGAAATATAATAAAACATTTGCAAATGATAGCAATGATACCACTTATCTGTTTGTTTTTTCCATGAAAAAAAAAGAAAATTTCGAAAAGATCACCTGATGTAGTTGACTTAATGCCGATGTAATTGTAGCACTAAATAACAGAGTTTGTCGCTGTTTCGGTAGAAAACTCAGAATAGTTTTTAGCTGTAAAATATATTAGCTTATATAGGTCAAAAATACCCTTACATTTCTTTTGATCCCAATTATCTTCATTGCAGTGTATAAGTGGAGAAGACATATTATATTCTGCTCTGCATAATATTGATTATACAACAGAAATGAAAATATCGATTACTCTCGATTACTCTTAATATTATTATACAACAAAAACTGCTGCTGAAAAAGTTTTTTCACACTTACAAAAATCACTTACTTCTATCGAATATTGTCCATCTAGAAGACGGTCAGCTTCATCAAGTACCAGAAATCGTAGTTTCTCGAAGAGCTTCCCAGTATTCTCAGAATCACTTTCTAGATGATCAGCTAACCGTCCAGGTGTTGCAACAACAACATGAGGTCGCCTACAAATAACCATTGTTATTCTTTTAAATCTAACAGTAATTTAATGAAATAACCAAATTTCTTAAAATAAACCTGGCCAAATCATTGCCTTGGGCAACGCGATCTTTTCCACCTACTATAATACCGATTTTGAGACCAATTGGTGTACCAAGCGCGGCAAACTGATCGCCAATTTGTATTGCAAGTTCTCGTGTTGGCGTTAACACCAGCGCACAGATACCATAAGGATCAAGTGTCAACTGTAATAGAATTTATGCAGATAATATCACCTTGATAAATTGTTTAATTTAGAAATTAATAAATTTCACAAAAATATAATTAATCAAATGAAAAAGACCATGCCATAAATTACATATAAAGTACAGACACAAATATATTATATCACCTTTGGAAAAATCACCCGTAGAACTGTTCCGTTTAAGACATTTATTGGTTGAAATGATCGGAAAAAAACTGAACAAACCTCATGCAAAATCGGTAAAGCAAATGCTAATGTTTTACCCGTTCCAGTCTTTGCACAGCCCAACACATCAGTACCAGCAAGAATATGAGGTATACAATTTATCTGGAAAAAAGCTCCAGCAATTATGAATTTCAATGAACATGATGAATATATTTCCTGAGAAATTGCTTTTAACTGATAGTCCTCACTTGTACTGGTGTCGGAGTATTCATTGCAAGATTTCGTAATTGATCGCAAAGCCATTTACTTAAACCAAGTTGAGAAAAAGTTGTTGCCTTCGAAACATCACCTTTCTACAACAAATAAAATAAAAATCGAAATTTCATCTTTGCTATCAAATGTTCAAAATGCATTAAATATAGCAAAAAAGATAGACCTTTGTTACTGTAGGTGATAATAGATTAATTTCCAATTCTTCAAACTCTTTCTGATCGTTGGAATCTGTGCAAAAAGACGTCCCAGCCAACTGTTTTTCTTCCATTTCAAAAAAAAAAAAACTCCTTCAACAAAAAAAGAAAATCGATCTGTGACATAAAATTACAAATTCTCATGTTCTAAATAAAAAAAAAAAAATACCTAATTCAACATAATTGACGCTTTGACACTTCGAAAACAATAAAGTAGTATACAAAGTTTGAAGTGTTTAGTTAATAATACTTTTTCTAATCATCTATCAATTTTCGACCAAATGAATATATATTTTAGAGGAAGTTATCACATCCAAATACTATATGACGAACAAAGGAACCGCGATTCTTTTTTAATCTAAAAGTAAATTCACCAAATTTACAAAAACATATCAGGAAATAACTGTAGCTGCAAAGTAAAATCGATGAATGAAAACATTTTATTTAATTTTTCATAGTAATAAAAAAAATCATCCGAACAATAATATGAATAGGAGTAAATATGTGCATCAGTAAGTTAATGAAGAATTCTAAGCCGGCTTCTTAACTTTAAAGTATAAGACAATAAATGACAGGCTACAATGAACAGCGAGATTAGAATATAAGGCGTTTTCGAGATAATCTAGTAAGCCAAGGTATATCTAAACTACCAACCTTATAGCAAGCAAACAAATTGTGGTCACTATATATTTCTATCAAGAAGCTAAATGTTTAGTATGTAATAAAACTACGAGCTTTATCGGATCTTAATAATTATTAATTGCTCTGCGAAGAGATGATATAATTATTTATGGTACAATCATATTTAAATTACATTACAATACGATAATAATCAACTTACGAAGTGAATTTTACAAATTTTTTACCATATTTATGAAAAAGAGGGGAAAAAAAATTACATTTATGAGAAAAAAAAAAGATACTGGTACAGTTACAATGCTTAAAAGTATATTTTTTTAATTAAATATAAACTGTTTCACATGTCAGATGAAAAATTCAAAAACACACTAAACGACGAAAACATAACATAAAAAATAATAAATTACTAAAAATAAAATCAACAAAATTCTGAACCATACTTTAAAGTGAATATTGGACTTCCTCATTTATTTCCGGATTCAAAAATTTTAAATTAAAGCTTCTAAAATTTTTTTGAGAAATTTTAATTCTTTATATTTTCTAAATCAAAATTAAATATTTTGAAAGCCAAATCTAAACTTTTTTTACATAGAGACAATAGAAAACAATAACTAACTGTACTTCCTCGCCTAATGTTTTTTCAAAAATTTAGATCTAAAATTTGGATAATGTGCGAAAAACGGCTCAATTTTCTTGTTCTTAGCTAACTCTCTTACAAAGGTTAACAAGCAGCAGTAAATGGATCGACAAGTTTTTAGCATTTCGGTAAACAAAATTAAAAACTTGATATCCATTCAAATATCAGCTATTCATTATCTTTCATCAGCTATTTAACATAATGTTTCGAACAATTTACCAACGTTATACGTGATAATATTTGTAATGAAATTGAAAATACATTCAAAAATATTAACTATCAGCATGATAAAATTTTCGCAATATACAATTTTAAACTAATGGAAACAAACGTGCAGTGTAGAATGACACGTAATAAACGATTCAGCTATTTTTTGAAAGGACGATCAATGGTCTCTGTAATAGCTGATACATACAAGTAACAATATACTGCTTTATGTTTCAACTGGATGTTATGGTAAAACTAGCACTTAAATTGCATTTAAGCCATAAAACGCAATTACAGTGTATATTGAACAATTAAATAATAAAATGGGAAAGGATAAAACCACAAAATGAAATCGGCATCCCGTTTAATTTCTTTAGATAAAATTTTTGGACTTCATACTAAAAAATATAGTAATATGGAATGGACTTACGAATACATTTAAAATTGTACCCTAATTATTAATATTTTCTGCAAATGTTGACACTTTCTGGAAAACTTTGAAAAAAGAAAAGATGTTTGAATCGACTATTTTATAACTGTCAATTTTAAGGATGTGAACATATGTACAGAAGGTTTCTATTCAAGCTGAAAATTCTGTATTTTCTTGAAAGTTAACGACAGAAGAACTCTAAAAAAATTTAGGCGTTTGATCGTGTTAATTCGAGCTCGCGATCCATATAACAAAGTTCATTCGTTACTTTGTCCCAATCCACTTTTCCATTTCGTTTGCGTGGTAAACTCTTACATTTTTGCTGGCTAGAAAACAATATATATTATATATATGCAAATACAGGATGTATGTAATATTACTAATCAGTTATATTAAATTATAGCAATAATCCTTTTCAATATGACGGTGTTTTTGTAGAAATTATTGGTGTGATGCATTTGAAGCTAGCTTATAATTACGAATTTACAATAAATATCACGGATAAAGCAAACAAAAATTCAATAGAGTTGGAAATGCATAGACCACCTATATTATTTAAACTCGCGGGATAACTATGTATTTGAGCAAACTTACTACATAGCCTGGAAATTTTTGCGTCCTCTTTTCGCCCATTCGTCTGCTTGATAAATTGGCTCTGGTAATGAAACTGCTGAAGTGATAATTTGATGACTATAGCAAAGGGCGTTGATAAATGCTTGTAACTCATCCATTTCCATGTCAGCTTCATTCACTAACAGTGTGTAAGCTGGAATTTTGCCTGTTCCCTAAAAAACAATTAAACTAATTAAATTTTATGTCTTCAGTGCTCATTTTGATTTTCCTCTATCAAAATTCTTATTCTTAAACATATTCTAATATAATCTACCAAAGAAACCTCTAATATACGAAGACTATCACCGAATAACACCAAATAATAGTATCAGTGAAACGTTTTTACAAAATATTAAAAAGAGAGGTAGATTAACATACTTTTATTACTTTATGTGATTGCAAAAAAATTTCTGTTGCATCGACACGGGTTACCGTATGATCAATAACGGTTCCAGGCAAACAATTTTGAATTTCTCCTTTAAAAAAGAATAAGCAAAACTATAAATAAACATGCTTTATATTAAAGTACCACTCCCAAAATGAACATGTGTGATATGTGATATGTATTAAAGTTTGGAAAGTTTGCTATAGAATCTGCTTTAAGTGTAATAAATTTTTAAACTATGTAAGCCAATATAAACCTGCATATACAAAACTATGTTAATCAACCAAAACATACTTGCAGAAGAAAATGTTTCAGATAATAAGAAAATTTATCTCACTATACACGAAATGATTCCTTTGCTACCATTTTGCTATCATTAAGTGCAAGTTTAAAGAATATACACACTACCACCCACAAGACTCATTCTTCCTGATTTTTTGGAACACTAATATAGAAACAATCTGAACTTATCCTGACCCTTTTCTGTTTCAAAAAAAAAACGCTTGTTGTGACGTTTTACAGCAATAAGAAGTACTATTTTTGGCTTATATTTTGCTTCTTTAGAAAAATCGGCATAATTTTGTATTCCAGCACGTATAGCTTCCAATTCCTCCATCATCACCTGAAATATCCCATAAAGTAAAACATGAATGCAAGATCCATCCAAATTATCCATAACTTCGGGGTTTATTTTTCCATAGTTATGAAATTTTATTCAATCAAAAATTCGTCTTCTCATCCTTTTCTTCACACTTTCTTTCCCTTCACTTCCTCTCTTCCACTCATAGAACAAAAAATTATAGAATTCACCATTTTATGTTGTCCTTCTGAAACACCATCACGTGTGACAACAATTAACGTCGGCAACTTGTGACGCATTTTATGGAATAATTTTAAAATATGAAACATTCGGCCTTCGAGAATGGAACTAGTGACTTGCTCCTGTTTTGCTTCATGAAATGCGTAATCCCCAATAAAAGTTTCTGGCTCCTTCGCAGCATTAAAGGAAAACTGTAAATTATTTAAAACTAACAGATAAAAAATGTTCTTTCACAATATAAAAATAAATACATAGCACAGAGATGATTCTCCCTTGTCTTTTTCCAGTTTATCTGAAACAGCATATTAATTAGTGGATCTGCAAAAATTAAAAAAAAAAAACTTAAGAAGCTCACCCCAATAACACTTGGTTGATCAAATACCACACTCAGACGGCGGTCAACTGCAGGCTGCGCTTCCGGATGACAAACATCATATCCAATAACAAGCGTATTACCACTTGATAACCATCTTTTAATTCTAATAACAACGGCATTAAAATTCTGGCGAAGTTTTATGAAATTTTTCAATAATTAATGAATTTTACTGGAGAAATAGAAATCAAAATTGAGAAGATAATGAAAGACTAACGCATAATGTTCTGGTATAGTATGATAATTGTGACCAAAATTTTTTACATTCATTTTGTTGACGATATTTTCAAATGAGTGTGCCTTATCTCTCACAGTGGAATATCTCACATGTTGCGTGACCACTTGATAAAGTGCTTCATACAGCTTGAGTTGACCTCAAATATGATTTCAGTTGAATTGTTTGCTTAACAAAACTTTCAAAACTCTTAGAAACAGTATTGTTAAGAACAAGAAATAGTAAACAATACTATAAGTTACTAAATAGTTTAGTGGAGCATGTCTTATGATATTTAATGATGTTTGCAAGCAGACTTCCACTTGATATTCTTAACTAAACATCTCATTTGGTTTTTGAAAAGAAGCTTATAAAATCAATCATCAACTTATTTCCCTTCAATTAACCAATTAAGCTAAATAAACTGTACGTTAACTTCTCCGCTTGTTTTACGTTTCGGAAAATAAATAAACCACAACTAGTTACCCCTAATTATTGATCATTTCCATTATCAAATGAATGAAAAGATAAATTGCTTAAGATAAATTAATTATATTTAGTAATTCGATAAGCAAATAGTACTAACCATGAGTACGTTCATTGTTATCAACATACATGAAGAAATTTGTTGCTTTGGGTGATTCCGTTATCATTTTTTTTATATTTTCCTCCAACTCATTTGCGCAAACTTCTTTTTTGAATTTTTTATTGAAATTTACACCTCTCTTTACTGCAGTATTGTAAATTGAATGGAAAAAATTCCTAAAAATATATATTATAATCAAATAAAAAAAAATGAATAATAAAACCAATGAAGTTTTTTTCAGAGAATGTGACATAACTGCTTAAGGTCCCATTACATTCCGAAAACAAATGATCAAATAATAAAGGAATAATTTTCATTTACAACAGCACTCTACAAACAAATATGAGTGGTTCATAATTTAAGTTAGATCAGAATAATTTTGTTACTTAAAATCTTTTGAAAGGAATAATTTAGGCTTAGAGAATCATTATTAACATCTTTACGCACTATTAACTGAGAAACAAAAAAACCAGGACTTTTCCATCATTTGTTGTTAAGATTGTTATGTAAAAATCAATCTCCACTATTATGGATCAATTCCATGCTTAAATCAAGAACACAAAAATAATGCCTTTTAGACATTACAGAAAATTTCGGACTAAGTTATTTGGTATCTTTCCATGCATTTTTGTAATTTACTATTACTAAATGTTTAAAAATGATACTTACGTTATAACATTTTCATCACAGCCCTTGTCATAAAAGAAATAAAAATTGTCAATTTTTGCTGGAGTTGCAAAGTGATTATTCCCGGGGTTCCAGCTAGCCTAAAAATCGTATTTTAATTTGAAAAACAGGAAAATCACACTATCAATGAACGAGAAAATAAAGTTTTTAAGCAGAACGTCTTCTTTTATACGTCTTTTTTCCCGTAATTTTTTTCTTCGATCTTTTCAAAACGGCAGAATTAATTTTAACTTTTTTCACTGCAAATTATGATTGATACCTTATTGGGTGTAACATTTATGGTACACTTCGAGTTATAGGAAATGCGTGGTGGTGCACGACGATTAGCTTCAACCTAAAATGAAGTCGCTTTAAAGACCGAGTACAGCATAATTCGCTCTCCTCCCAACACGACCCTACTTCGTCTTCACATTGTCGTGGTTTGTGCAAAATTATTTTTAAATTATGGAAAAAAATCAAAATCAAGAAAGAGAAGTAGCAATTCAAAAACGTACCACTATTGGGTTCCTACTAATTCGAACTCCAAATGCTGCCAAAACAGGATTATATTTGCTTTCGCTCAAATTTAACGCTTCCATATGTCGTATTATTTCTTTATATCGTATGTCCGGGGCTATGACAGCACTCTATAAAAAAAGATAAGTAATTGTTTGGCTACCAACTATCTTTAACTACTGCCATTCTTATAAAATTCACATAAATCTAAGTAATTACGGTTTGCAAACAGCTCACAAAGTCATGGACGAAAGAAATATTGACAAATGCTCTTTTGATAAATTTTTCGAAAGAAAAAAAAAACGATACGCTGAATGATTTCTGAATAGCATACAGTTTGAATGCAAGGAAGTGAATTTGTGTTGGAAATGGAAAAAATCAACAATTTCAATAAAGATAAGTAAAAAATAAATTGGACGTTGAACAAAAACTGTGAAAATTCACCTTCATTAAGGCTTGCTTCTGGTCCGGCCGGAGCTTTGCATCTGAGACCTTTTGTTTTGGTGCAACATATAAAATTTCAAATGGGAAAAAGACTTTACCAGAGCGCGATTTCAAAACAACAGCTGGCAAATCAGGTCTGCAAATGTATTTAAAATTATGGAATTCAGTCTGAACATTGAACCCAATGTACAAAGCTCAATGAAATTATCAACATTATAAGCAACGGTAATTTTTTACGATCGGATGAAAATTAACCTGATATCAATTCCCAGTCTTTTATATGCTTCCATTAGCGGCATTTGTTCACTTCTGCAAACAAAAAATGCTCAATAATAAAGGGTATCCTAATTTATTCCTGACATTAAAAACTAGCTTTCTAGTTCAATGAGTAAGATTTCAGTTTCATTGTAATATGTTATATCAACAATAGTAACAGTAATTACAACCATTTTCTATTCTTCTATCCTCTTGTCTCTATTCCTTTTTCTCTGGTTTCCGTCGCTTATTTATATCCCTCATTTTTACCGATGACTGCTTTTCTCATTAATAGACTTATCTTACTGCATCTTATACCTTGATTTAAAGTTGAAATTTAGGAGTTACAAGAAGTTTGACATAACTCATCTTTTATTTCAAAACGAATCAAATAATGAAATAGCAAATAAATTCGTTAAATTTAAGAACCTAAGATTTCTTACTGGTTGCACCGATAAGCCACTTGCAGTAAATGTCTTAGTATTATTTAAGCGAAGAAGACGAATACCTGAAGATGAAAAGTACGATTCAAACGTATGTAACTATTAATGAAAAATTAAGCGCAAGTAAATAATTTGGTCTAAAAAGCGTTGAAATTCCACAGAAAACATAGTAAAATAAGTGTGTGTTTCTGCAATCAATATCTTAAATTAATTTCTTACCAGTTTCTATAGCTTTTTTTGGAATATAAAAATGACAGAAACATTAAATATTTCTTCTGTTAAAATTAAAAACCTTACCTTTGACCGTCCGTTCAACACATCGTACAAAATCCGCAAATTTTCTTTCATTCAAATGTGGGATAGATGGAACTAGTGAGTATGGCTCATATATTTCAGCAGCAAAATTCATCAGTCTTTCTTCCTTGAAAAATGGTGTTTTTTTCCCTAAAAAAACTTTTAAAAAAAGAAGAAACTATATTCAACATTCAAAGTTATAATAAATAACTTGATAACAAGCATACCATCAAGTACCAATGCAGGAACTAAACCAGTTGATTGGTTGCCTTCGACAAAACGGACACTTTTATCGACACCCATGGAGAGTTTAACTCCATTTTTCAATTTCATGTTGTCTTTTTCTTGATATAAGCGACCGAAACCAAAAGAAAAATACGATTCACTAGAATAAGAAAAATGGAATGTTGCTTCATTTATAATGATCTTAGATCAATTTGATAACTATGCATAAACAGAATGAAACATTAATCAATTTAAAATGTGTCGGATAATAACAGATTTTAAACACATAAGGTAAGTTTGACGTCGTATACAAGTTAATGTAACCGAATATGATATCATCAAAGTAAAAAATCACCACAAGAAAAGATTGGAGACCAAAATGCAGTTAAAATGACAGGAAAAAATTCCTCTATATATCAAAGCCGCGAGCAGTCCACAAGAACTAAACCTAACCTCCGCAAACCGTACTGGTTTGTTAGGATTTCATAAAATTGGCGCAAGGAATGATCCTGAGCCAATAAATCGGGAGTGATCGATGAGTTGAAATCTGATGTATGAAATGAGCGAGCAAATTCTCGACATTCGCTAATGTTTATACTTATGTTGATGTTACTACCAAACATTTCTTGCAGTTCTTGCAAATTATTGGATGACATAGTAATTTCAGATACCTGAAAATAACACCTATTGGTTAATCAAGAACATTTGAATTTCTTCGTCCAGCTGACTCGCCTAGTCATTTCCGTACCTTTTAGAAATCTTATTCAACTAATATAATTAAAGCGCAAAATCATTAGAGTGCTAAAGACCCATAAGGACTTTTTGCAGTTGTAGAAAGCAGAATCTCAGAAATAAAATAGGAGTGAATTCTTGAGTGACCGTAAAGAACAGAAAATCTCAGAAATTGGAGAATGAACAAACTTGCAGATTCATACTCAAAATTTTCGCTAAAATTTTTGATTCTATCCGAATTAAAATTTAAGATAACTTTTTAGTTCAATACACATCTCCTACACAAATGTTTCAATTATCTCTTTTATTTCATCATACCTACCTCCTTTAAGTCCAATGATTGATTAGTGAACAAAGTGCTCGATAAATCGTACGCATATGCAAATTCATTAAGTTGTCGATATCTTCTCAATGCCATGTCGATTAAAAACATACATTTCTTAGCTCGATATGGGCTAAAATATATATATATATATATATATATATATGGAGACAAAAAAGTTATTCTCGCATTTTCTATGAATTCAAATGTGGAAGACAATGTGAATATGTAAACAACAAAATACTTACTCCTGCTTTCCATGACATAAGTTTACTTTTACAACATTGGCAGTACGAGGTCTTCCACAACACGTTTCGATGCGTACATCATAACGATAAACGATGCGATCTGTTATTTCCAATGCATAAACATTCGTTTTTACACTAACTTTTTGCTGTATTTTGGCCGGTGGTAACTTTGGAAGTATGCATGGAGAATGAATTGATGAAATTCTGTAAGCAAAACATATTCTTACTATTTCCATCAACAGCAAGGTTTCCTTTTTTTCACTCTTTAAAAAAAAAACAATCATAAATTACGCAGTACCACTCAAATAAAAAATTAAAAAAAAATTCTGATAACCTTCCATTGTGTTGTATATTTGAGAACCTTCCATTGTTTTGGATATTTCGGAAGCAAGACTGTGACGAAACATTTCTGTACGCGGAATGTGAACTGTCATTGGAGTCGTTCTAAAATGCAAGGAAAGAACTTATGCGCAGTATTGGATACAAGTTTTACTATTAAACAAAAGTTTTTCTATGTTCGATATAGTTTACATCCCATAAATAACGGTATGGAAATGGTTAATAAATCGTTATTTATGGGATGTAAACTTTCGAAATTTTTCAATGAATGTAGTGAATCTTTGACTTACAAGTCATGATATAATTATAGTTAAGCAAAACACGTATACTTACTGATAAACCAGGGTAATAGCAACTTATAGCTAATCTCAAGTTATAGCTATAGAGGAACGAGTATCTGTGATAATGCATTAGATGATTTAAAAATTCTCCTGATCAAACAGATCAAAGCCAAAAAATGCTATCACTAATACATTATTCTGTCAATCAACTATCAACTTCCACTGAACCATGCATTCTCTCAAATATTTTCTTCTTCAGTAAAAGATTTTTTTCTTCTACATTAGTGATTGCCGAAGAAATTGATAGCAGTAACATAAATATAACCTACTTCCGATTCCAAGTTCCGTGACTGAGTAGAACAATCAGATCGTCTCATATCTGAATTTATTTCTGAAAAAAAATTTAAAAAAGAAAAATCAATCAATTAATTCTTAAATTATCAGTGAATAAACTGGACGTATAGAAAAATTTGACTTGGTAATATTCTATTCAATTCAAGGTTTTTGTCAAAAAAAAAAATGCGAAATTTTTAGGATGGAAGAAGTGCTTCTTTGAAATCAATTCCTACCGACAGTCTGCGGAACATCAATATTTTGATCATTGCGTCTTGAACGACCTCGACCACGACTACGACTTGGCATTGTATCACCTCTTCTGAAAAGAAAAATACATAATGATGTATAGAAAATAAACATGGAAATGATGCAACATATCGTTATAGTACCAAAGAGAGTCACATAAAGTATGTATTTCGTCTTTCTCCTTTTCTCTTTCTTCTCTCCCTCTCTTTTTCTCTTGCACTAATCATTAGAGAAAAAAGACATCATTAGCAGTTAAGATAACTTTTATCATCATTGACATCACATTCATAAATCAATGTAACCGCTCTAGTTTTATGTTGATCTAAATTCTAATCTTATATTATCTAAATCAACAGCACTATACTGATCTAAATCTAATCTTCAAAGTTTACAGTTTTTCTTTAAGTCAGTCAGATTTATGATTAAATCTCGGTAATCAAAGATTTAAACCTGTTCAAGTTTAATTCTATATATATATTTTAGAGCCTATTTGATCAATTTATCATTATTTTTTTTCTTACTTCCTAAGAATTTCTCGACAGTTGAATCAAAACCTTTAAATTCACAACAAATTTTACCCGTCCAAAGGACCACCATCATGCCAGCATCCTCTCATGCTACCACTCGTCAACAATGCTACACTTGACCTATGGACTTCTTCCAAATCGTAAATTGCAAGATACAATTTGCCAAAATTTGGTAACATTTCGCAACAGAATGACGTGTCCTTATACTTGCACATATTTTACGTATTCTATGCTTTTTACATCTTTTAATTTTTCTAAATGCACGTTCTTAACGATGTATAGTTTTGCAGAAGTTAGTACCCAATCGTTTCTATTATTTACAAAAAGTTAGACAAATTTTCTTTATCATGAAGCATAAATAATACTTCTAACGCAAACAATACATTAATCAAATTTTGTTACTTATCTAATTTCTTTCATTTCATCATCCTTTCATCACTTATATCATTCTTCCACATAATTGTTTTCCATTAAAATTGTCGTGTATGAGTGTAATTTAATCTGATTGCGGAAAGCTTTGTTGTTGTTGTGACACGATCGATTTTATTGGTGAAAGTTAAAATATCATTGGAGGGATTTTTTGTTTGATGTTACAGGATTGAATTTAATCCTCTTTGATGTTAACGTTGACCGCTTAGTTGACACACTGTTTGAAGAGAGTATCGTTTGGAGTAATCGTTGAGGTAGTCGTCGAGAAAGGTTTATTTTAGCCTGTTGTGAAATTGGTTGTTGTAGAATGATTATTGTTGTTTCACAAACAAATTGTTGTTGAGACTTATTTTATTGTTTGGAATTGTAGTGGAACAGTTTTCGTATCGAAGATGAAATGATCAGTAGTTGATTTGATGATAACTGGAAGTGGAGAGGATTAAGCGTATAGGTGTTGAAATGATTGAATGAAGAGAATGGTCTCTCCTGGTATATTTGATATATACTCAATATACCCAATGGTGGTGCGAGGATAGTAGATAATTGGTTTAGTAGCTAATACAGGGTCAGGACAATATCATGTTGGGGTATGAATAAGCAAAGAGCTTTGTGTTGTTAGCTGCATCGGTTTCATAAGAGATAAAGATGCTATAAACAATCTCTTAATGAATTAAGACAAAGAAGTCATATGACAAGAAATTAAAGTTAACAATGACAGATTGTTGATGACAATTTAAATGTAATTTAAAATCAAAAGAGACAAATTACGAAATACAGTTTCCTCAGCTTAACTGTCAGTGATACAAATCTCAGCTGATATGAATAACTTGATATCACAAGTTTTCGGATTTTCCGGCACTCCCGACTTGAGGATATTGTTTATTGGTGAATATGGGTAAAATAAATTTTGTAGTTCGGTGGACGATTGATGGTTGATAATCGAAAAGCAAGACAAATAGTTTCTTACAGATAGAGTTATTGATAAGATTGGACCGAATTGAATTGAATTATTATTATTATTAAGTCAACTGAGAGATAGGCTTATATATTCAGTTTGTATATCCAATTAAAACTTACAATGAATAGCAATTTTAATATTTTGATAAAAACACCATAATTGAGATAAAAACGATTGATATGACCAATTTTAATGATAATTAATCACGTAGGTTTCAAATTTTTTAGTAAATATTTACAATTTTATAAATATAATTATAAATCACTCGAAAATTTATTACCGAAATGATATAAGTAATTTTTTTTCATGCATATAAATATATAAACAGGCATATAAATCATTTAACTGTCAGAACGAAATTATATATTTTATTAAGGAGTAATTCTCATAAATTTATTTTGATAATTTTGTATTATAAATTAATTTCGAACTTTCGACAAAAATTGCTTTTATCTCCACATCTCACATTCACTCAGACATAAATGTCACGTACTTTTATCTTATTTTTGTAATTTCCAGCGTTTCAGTGCTTCATCCTTCTACAATTTTTCTTTATTAAACGTAATGTGAATAGTTTATTGACGAAAATTTTCAATTTATTGACGCTAATTGGCACTTCAAGAAATTTTGATCGCATTTGAAGATGTCGTGAAAGTTTTTTAATGTCGTGAAAGTTGTGTTGAAATGAATCGGGCACCAAAAATTATTGTTGGGAAGTTTGTGTGGAGGTGAATACGAGAGGTCGGGTTGAGTCGAATATTGTGAGGTCTATGCGGTAGGACGAGAAACCGGCTTGTAACCTCAAGCTTGGGTAATTAAACCTTTATTTAGATTATGGAAACGAACGAGCAAAAGAATGAGTAAAATGGGAAAAATTGAATAAATTCAAGTGTGACTGTA